AAATAAAATAAATTTCTTCATATAAACAAACTAAGGCTTTGTCTGTGCTCTTTCCATTTAAAATTAGAGGCAACTACTGCATTTTAATCATGATCGAAACAAAGATGCTGCATACATGCAACATGAGCAGTTTTTAATCTAAATTGGATTGTATAATTTCGAAATTTGAAGGAAAAACAGAATGGTTTGAGTTCAGTTTTGTGAAACTATACATAAAAAATATCTGCATGAAACAGAAACAGCAGAGCTGAATGAGACGCATATTCACTCTCTGCCAGCAGGTGGCGCTTAAAGCGTTTCCTTGGTTTCCGCTGTAAACAAAGCAGCGCTGCACTTATGAACTTTAATATGCATTATACAGAGGCAAGATTAAAAGAAAAAATACCATCTAAACTTTTCTAAAGACAGTAAGTTCCCCTCAGACATACATTCATATAAACTCCTACCCCTAATCGAATCGCGATTTGTTTAGCATCTCAACCGATTTGAATCGTCACATATTTAAATCGATTTTCAACCGGCTCGCGGTTAACCGTTACATCCTTAAATACAACACACTTTTAATCAGCTGCATCTAAACCAAAATGACATTATTTGGAAATAACACACGTGAACTGATCGCTTATTTTGTATTTAAATTACTTAAGGTATACGTAACATTTAGGGAACGTTTCAAATATGTTAGGTAAAATTAGTAAACGTTTGGTAAACATCCTCAAAGAAATTCACCTAAAAATGAAAATCCTGTTATCATTTACTCATCCTCAAGTTGTTCCAAATGAATTGTCTTCTTCTGTTGAACACAAAAGAAGATATTTGGTAACCAATCATTCGCTGGTAGCCTTTGACTCCCACAGTATCAAAATATATCAAAATATCATCTTCTGAGTTCAACAGAAGAAACAAATTCAAGCTCGGAACAACCTGAGGATGAGAAATGATGATAAAAATGTTCAATTTTGGACGAATCCTTTTAAGATGTTATTAATAATATCTAATAATGGTTCGAACAATATTTGGAGAAACATTCTTTAAACGTGCATTTTTTGAGACAATTGCTTAGATCTCGCAGTATTTCGTGTGCTACATTTAAACAACATCTTCATAAATGTGGCAACCATTTTTTGCACAGTTCCCAGCTGTTCTCAAGGTTTAAATAATGTAGACAGTCTAGTCTAGAGGAAGCCGTATTTATGCATATTCGACAAAATGATGCACTACAGGAACATTACAAATCAACGCGCCTGGAACATTATGTAAATAATTCAAGTTAAATGTTTTCACTCACATTTACTAACGACAGGTTAATATATCAGCCAGGCTGGATAATGAGCTGATATTTGGCCGTTTTGAGATTATTAACTGGCTTCAGCCAATAACCATGTTTTAATTTGGACAATAAAAGTTTAAATTGTTGTCAATTTTGAGAACATATTGTGCTTATGTCTCATTAAAGGGATAGTTCACCCAAAAATAAAAAGAGGATATTCTGAAGAATGTTGGTAACCAAACAGTACACAGTAGCCATTGACTTCTATAGTATTTTTTTTCCATATTATGGAAGTCAATGGCTGCCGTTAACTCTTTGGTTACCAACATTCTTCAGAATATCGTCTTTCATGTTCAACAGAAGAAAGAAACTCAAACAAGTTTGAAAAAACACGAGGGTGAGATAATGATGACAGAATTTTCATTTTTGAGTGAACTATCCCTTTAAATTGTACTATCTATCAGCATTATATTGACTATCACTCATCCTGCTATTTAAATATCTGCCATAATAAACCAATATTGGTTGACCATTAATGCTTTAAATCACCTGCTACTTACAATTTAGAAGTTGAAAACTTCCAAAATGAGACATTTTTAGAATATAAATGACCTGAGCTGAACATAGAGACCACTGGTGCTGATCTACTTCTGATGCTTTTGGGAAAGACCTGGTTCATCTGCTGTAGACATGAGAAGAAAACAACAGACACCCCATGACTGCGGTCCGGGACGAGTCACTGATGAGTGTGATCTCAACTCAACAGATCCCCACGGAGACGTTTAATTCTGTCAATAGCCTTTGGTGCTTTCCTTATTGAATTATTCCTCTCCATGTTCCTGCGGTGATCACAGATTCATCTCACATCCATATTAAACAGCCAAAAATTGTTGTTCAGTCTGATGCCAAAGAAGAGCCTTTATAGGTTCAGTAATGTGATATGAACATTAAAATGATCTCCTGTGATGTCATAGAATATTTTGAGGATATAGGTTTCAAAAATGCCATAGAAGTGTTTTAAATTCATATGAAGTCATTGCACCTTTTTGCAGAGTTCTGTGATGTCACACAAAAAGTCCCATAGAAGTCCATGAAACGTTTTTAAGTTTTATGATGTCATTGAAGTTTTTTGGGGGTTCCGCAATGTTGAAAAATGTCTTTTCATGTCTTTATGTTGTCAATGAACCATTTTTTTTTTTGAGTTCCATCATGTCTCAAAACAAGTCCTAAAATTATCATAGAACCTTCTCAAGTTTCTGTGATGTCATCGAACCTTTCTGAGTTCCACAATGACACAGAAGATGTTAAGTAGTGTAATATTGTTCTTTCAATATTGTTTGAACATTCTTAAAGGCAGCTGTGAAGTTCTCGCAATATGTGATACATTTCAAGGATGTGGGAACCATTTTTTCTACATTTCCCAAATGATGTCAATGACAGTGGCGGCTCGCCAGGGGAGGCAGGGGAGGCACAGCTTCCCCATAATTTTGAGGTGAAAATGGGAGGAGGACGATTTAATGTCAATAAAATTCACAATTCATTTCAGTTCATGTCTCAGAATGTGTATTTTTTGTTTGTAATTTCACAGTTGTAATACCATAACGTGAAAGCGCCGTTTTCTATCGCGAATGTGCCGAATTTGCTGATGTAATTACAACTGCTAATGATAGAGAAGGGAAAAGAATGTGGGAACCATTTTTCTCAAAGTTGTTTTCAATGTTTAATAAACATGTCAATCTAGAGAAAGCTGTTAAATATGCATATATATATATATATATATATATATATATATGCATATTTAAAAATATGGTGTACTACTGGAACATTACAACTCTACAATCCTAGAACATCTTGTAAAAGAAAAAAAAAAGGTAAGTTAAGTTAATATAAATGTTGTAATTACCAGTGTTGGGCAAGTTACTTCCAAAATGTAATACATTATATATTACTAGTTACTGTCTTTTGAAAGTAATTAGTTACATTACAATATTACTGTCTCTGAATTGTAATGCGTTACACTACTTTTGAGTTACTTTTGAGTTACTTTCACCAAAATATCCACAGAAGTATTATAAAATGCCAAAATGTAGTTTAATGCTGCTCATTCTACATCCAGTGGAGGGTAACGTGGTAGGTCTATATAGCATAAAATATATGAAATCATATTTAGATACCGGTATGTAGGTCTACATTAATGTTACGTTGTAGTTTAGGTTAAAAAAATATACGGGTTTGTAATCTGATTTTCATGAGTTTCTTTTGCTGTTCAGACCACAAGTAACTAAAGATATTTGAATTAGATACACCAAAAATGTTTAGCTACTTATCTCAACCAGTGGCGGGGAGGCAGGGGAGGCACAGCTTCCCCATAATTTTGAGGTGAAAATGGGAGGAGGACGATTTAATGTCAATAAAATTCACAATTCATTTCAGTTCATGTCTCAGAATGTGTATTTTTTGTTTGTAATTTCACAGTTGTAATACCATAACGTGAAAGCGCCGTTTTCTATCGCGAATGTGCCGAATTTGCTGATGTAATTACAACTGCTAATGATAGAGAAGGGTAGGGGAAGGGCTGAGCTCTCGTGCCTCCGTTGGTAAAAAAAATTAGCCAATCAGCATCGAGTGTTTACTTTCAGCGCTGAGGAGTGTTGAGAAAAGAACCCTTGCAAGGGAGGCTAGCCTCCTTCTGATATCAACCAATCATCATAGAGACGTAAATTACGTGATATTAGTTTGAACGTCTGCCGCTGCGCTGATACGAGCCGCCACTGGTCAATGAACCTTTTTGAGTTCCACAATGTTATATTTTTATTCGTTTTTTTTTTTTTTTACGTCAAAGAACAAGTCCTGAAAGCATCATAGTACAACCTTTTCAAGTTTCTGTGATGTCAGTGAACTTTTTTGAGTTCCACAGTGTTATAGACGTCTACGTAACATTATTAGCGTAACGTTGTTTGAACGTTCTTGCATTATGCTGTGCTACATTAAAAGAATGTGGGAACCATTTTTCTCAAAGTTGTTTTCAATGTTTAATAAACATGTCAATCTAGAGAAAGCTGTTAAATATGCATATATATATATATATATATATATATATATATGCATATATAAAAATATAGTGTACTTCTGGGGCTAATCAGTGGCGGCGCTAGGGCGGGGCTTGACGGGGCTCATCAGAAACTTCATTAGGAAACAAGGATTTCCTAATGATGTTCCCTTATTTTTGGTGTCACTTTCATTAACATTGAAAAATAAACATTAAAAACAATTGCCTAATATGTGGCCTATAAACGATTGATATTATGGGGGCGGGGTCAAGCAACGCGCAAACTGTGCGCAAGAGTTAAGCCGGTGAACGTCAGTAAATTCACTATAGAGAAAGTGAAAGTAAAAAAACTGACGGAGCTTTCTAACGCTGCATTAACGGCGCATATTCTCTGAGACAACAAGAGACAAAATTACTTCAATAATCCGTTTTAAGTTCTTATGATGTAATTGTAAATGTAAGTTCCCATGATGTCATAGAACATTTTAAAGTTCTAATGAAGTCATAGCAGAACCTTTCCAAGCTGATGTCATAAAACAACCGTTTTGATGTTCTTTACATATTTACTGATGATTTAAAGAAGGAAGGTCTGCTTTACTTTTACTTTGGAAATAGATGATATCTAAAACTAATACACTAATATGACCAACACTGTAACATAAAGAACATTTCTGAATCTCCATAGAACCATATATATCCTACATGAGCAGCTCCCACACAACAGCATCAGCCTCGAGACTGTGTGGAAATGCTCCAGTAGGCCTTCAGCTCCAGCATTCAGCATCATAGACACACTTCTGACACAGATCACACACACACACACTTCTGACAGCAGACATTGACGATAACACACTGACAGATACACGCGCATCATCTGCAGGGTTAATGAGGAAGATAAACGAGTCGCGTTTACCTGCAGCATCTCACTGAGCAGCAGCGACCCGCTACACCGACACCGATCCACGGACACAGACCCAGAGAGCGACAGGAGAAACACGGGGAGATCCGACAGTACTGCCGTCGATGTGTGCGAGAATAATCGCGCGGATGCTGCAGTGTTTCCAGCGATGTGGGTGAGATGAGCCATCTACACACGCGCACACATGCGTTGTGGAGGCACGAGAGAGAGAGAGAGAGAGAGAGAGAGAGAGAGAGAGAGAGAGAGAGAGAGAGAGAGAGAGAGACAGA